TATATATATATATATATATATATATATAGTAGGATGTTCAAATGTATTGTGTAGTGTAAGTTCATTTTCTTGTTTGCTTCAGGTCCCCCAAACAAAGTGGCAAGAAGATGGAAAAAGACGAGCGTAATCGTGATGTGCGGCGAGGAGAAGGAGAGAAGAGTTTTGCAGGTTCCGAATCTCGTCGCTATGACAAACGTGGAGGCTACGAGAGCAGCAGGGGTGGGCGGGAGGGTTTTGCCCCTCGTGGTGAGCCTTCACGAAGGGGTCGGGGGGGTTTCCGAACCCGTGGTAGCGTAGGAAGACGTATGGATGGCTATGGGCCCCCATCATCCAAAAGTCCATTTGGGCAATCTTCTGATGATTCGAAACTCATAGGTAGGGATAAGTAAATTTTGCATTATTTGTAAATTGTCCAACAAGGAGGTGGTTGCTTCACAGTGAAGATTTGAGACTATGGAGAATAATATGAAATGAGAACAAAAGAAATGGTTTTCTTTCCTTAGATTTCTGTCTCTTTATGTTTATCCATAATTTTAAATTCTCTGTTTTGTTTGGAACTTCAAATCCTGAATGCAAACAAATTGTCATTGTTAGAAGTAAAGTCCGTTTTCAAGCTCCATCTGTGAAAAGGGAGTTGAAGATTTATATCAGCTTTGCAGAGTAAGGCTTAAGTTTATTGTTGGTAACCTAAGATATTTTTTCAAATTTCCATCCTTGAAAAAGTTCCATGTTGAATTTATTTACTTTTAAGGATGCAAATTGAGCATTGTATTATGAAAGTGATTAATCATAAGTGATTAGAAATGGTATAAAGAGATGTTAAATTTTAAATATTTTTATGTATGTGATAGCCAGAAAATATTTTTTAAGTGCTAGACCATTTCTGTCATAATGAACTGAGAAATTTATTTTTAAAGTTGTTTTGTATGTTTAAATGTAAATTATCTGGAAATGATGTGTGTTAACTTTTTGTTCAGACTGAATGTTACTAACAATGCCTTCTTAAACTGTGAAGTGAGTTTTCAGTTGTCAGTAGATCAATATGCTGAAGTGATCTGGAAGCATAACACTTCCCATTAGTTTATTTATACAAGTATACATAGTGCTTGAGGTGGAATGAAAATAGAACCGGGATGCCATCCCGCCGCATCCCGCCCCACCTCAAGACCTGGGTATTGTACGATGGGGTACCCAAAAGAAACCAAACTAATTTTTTTGTTTGCAGAGCTTTTGTAGTACTGCGTTTTTCCGCTATGAGCGCATAGACCTAACATTCCTGAGTCGATAAGCCGACTACCGTTGCTTCAGAAGGTAAGGACTAGTTTCGGCAGAGTTTATAGTGACAACTGTTTTGTGTTATCGTCGTTTTTGCAATGGCTGATTTTCGTAAACAGCGTGCGGCCGTGAAATTCTGCTTTTTGCTCGGGAATAGTGGAACAGAAACTCTTGAAATGTTAAAAACGCCGTACAAGGACGATGCTATGGGGAAAACTCAAGTGTTTGAGTGGTTTTCCTGTTTCAAAAATGGTGAAATGTCAATTGATGGACAAACCTCGTTCTGGTCGTCCTTCCACGGCTCGAACACATGAAAATGTTGAAAAAATTCGTGAAATCATCAAGGAATATCGACGACGGACCATTGAAGAAATTGTGGAGCTGTCGGGAGTGACTTGGAGCTCAGCGGCCAGATTTGTGGCAGTCGGGTGACTGGTTTTTCCATCATGACAATGCCCCTGCTCACACAGCCCTGTCTGTGCAACAATTCTTGACCAAAAATGGTATGACCCCTGTTCCTCACCCTCCATACTCACCCAACCTTGCCCCGTGCGACTTTTTTTTTGTTTACTCGAATGAAAAGAGACATGAAAGGAAAAAACGACAGAGGCGCTGTCAAGCATCACAAAAGATGAATTTAGACAATGTATTGAAAAATGAAATAAAAGACTAGACAAGTGTATTGGTGTAAGTGGAGAGTACTTTGAAGGGGATTGAAGGTTTGGGCTTAAAATTTGAATAAATAAGTTTAAAAAAAATAAGTTTGGTTTCTTTTGGGTACCCCCTCGTACATTGCATTTACTGCCAAAGAAGTAGCGGGATGCTTTTAAGCCATTCAGAAAAGAACCGGGATGACATCCCGCCCCACCTCAAGCCCTGAGTATACTGTAATGCATTATTAACCAGTTTTCTCACTGCCTCTGTGCCCGACTGTAAGAAATATGTTTCACATATTATATACATTTCTTTTATTCATAGAACTCCTTTTGTTCTGTATCCATAATATGGGGGTGATGGCATTATTTGAGAATGCTTTTGAGTCTTTTCGAATTCATATTTGGATGTACTGTAGTTTCTTCTTCGGATATTTAAAAGCTGTAGTTGAAAGCTTTCTGTGACAGCCCAGATGGTACCACCGCAACAGTGACTCCTTTCATAATATTACATTGCGTCATTATAGGCACATGGTTTTGTTTGTTACTGAAGCAGCTGAAACTATTATAGGAACAACTACTTTTTAGGTATGTTAAATGTTTGGTTAAATTTCATGTCAGTTCATGCTGGTGGAATTTGCTTCTTCCCTGGATTTGAAAATGCTGAACTGCCTGATGTGTATATTGTTTGTGGAGGATGGTAGGTAATTTTGCTGCATGAACTCTCAATTGTTTTTTTGGAACAATTGAAAATGAAAGTACAGTTTTAATGCTTGATTTTTGTGTATCATTTTTGTAGGGTTGGATGAGAAGGACAATAAAGAGAATCGAAAAAATTCTGACCCTCACTTGGGAGAATCAAACAAAGAAGATATTGGTGGTGAAATAGTGACTGCTGAGGATAAAATCAAACTGAAGCAGCAGGCTCTGTCAGCCGGAATAATTGGCAGCTCAAGACACCATGCTAATGTAACAAAAGTGTCATCAACCCAGGTACCACCGCGTATGCAGCGGAAGTCAGAAAGTGAGCGTAGAGATTCCAGTCGCAACAAGGGCACCCGAGGAAGCAGCACTGGTCGTGGTGGAACACATGGACCTGGAAGGGAATCAACTGGTCGTCCTCCAAGGTCAGGTGGTGGGTCTGTGCCAGTTATGAAACAGAACTCTTCAGATGTGGGTGATGAATGTTGGGAGACTACATCTGAGAACAGTGAATTGGATGACAGGGATAGAAAACTCGATATACACAATGGAAGAAAGGCATTCCCTCGCCATCGTGAACCTCCTGGTAACAGTCGTCGCAATTCTGGGGTAGGCCTAAATAACTGTGCTCCACGAACAGGTAGGGGAGGATCTGGGGGCATGGGATCTACTCCGGGTTCTGGCGGCAGCAGCGGCGGCTCATCCCGGGCTCCAGGAGCGGAGAAACGTGCGGGAAACAATAATGGATATGGTGGTGGCAATGGAGGACAGAGAGGAACTTCTAGTAGTGCTATGGGGATCACCCTACAAGCGAACGGCAGAGCTCCTGGACCCCGTCCCAATAGTGGCAGCCAGAGTGCTGCAGTTGCCGGAACCAAAGTACCTATGAAAGAAACAACCACAGCTGTTAACAGAGTAGACGAAATTAAATTGAACGATCCATCACTGGTCTCTCAAGCTCTATCGGAATTGAACTCGTCCAAGAAAAATGTCAGAGTGGAAAAAGAAAAATCCAATGCTCTGGAAGGGATCGATCTGAACAATTATGCAAGTAAGTAGCTTTTCTCTGACAAGAAATATCTGTAGAAAGCTGTTGAACTGGCACTTCTTCCATGACCCATCTTTATTTCTGTTGCTTTTTATTTTATGCATGTCTTTTTCAGTTTTTATGTTCATTAACTTGTGGTTATTCCGTAACTCATACAGATTCTGCAGTGAATGCCTTACACTTATTCACTGGTGCACCTTGCATTTCTTTCCTTGTGTGGAATCATGTTATAAAAAGTGCTGAGGTTATTGGTTGTGAAAACCCACCGCATGTAGAAAGATTGTGAGCATATGGGGTCGGTTATAAATCTTTCCTCTAAATTCTCATCCCTAGGGCACATACAGGATGTCGAAGGAAGAATGGCCACATTTTACGAGCTTATGTGACAATCTGTGTAGTTACAGGAGAGCCATTTCCATCGTATGAAATGGAAATAGTTTTATTCATGCTGCATGCCTCAGTGGTCTGGTGGTAACTTGCTCCCCGTCGGACCTGAGGTTCACGGGTTTGGGCCAGCCAAGGCTGATGGATTTTTAAGGGCAGTACCTATTTTGTGTCATGTAAATGAACATTTCATTCATGGTAAGAGATGAGTGAAGGAAAAATTAGATACCATTTTTGGCTGCCCACAAGCTCCCTGCAATCACATGACTGCAAAAGGCCTCCGGCAGAGAAGTGTGATAACAGCTTCTCACCAAACCCAACAGAAGTACACCACACAACTGGGTAACGTAATTCACCTATGCTGTGTCTGAGTAGAAAGTGAGTTAAATACACCAACCAGATAAGGCTAAAAGGCACAAATATCTTGTTTGTGGAAATGCAGCATCAGAAACAAGACAACTGACATGATATACCATATGTGCCAAAGTGAGTGCTGTATGAGAGATAATGGGAGGTCGGTCAGTTGCTCAGGGAGTGGCATTTCACCAGCAGAAGGATGCGTTTTTGTGGTAGGCAGCAGAAGCTGAATTGGTTACAAGGCTGTAAACAAGTGGAATAGTTTAAAGAGAAGAGCTACAGAATGCAGTCACCATCATGGATAAAGGCTTCCACTTTATCTGATGAGAGTCTGGGTATATTCCCTTTTTGTAGTTTGCTCTGTTCTTAGAAATGCTGTCTGTTAACCATTAGACATACATGTAACCTTCTGTTGGTTGGAAGCCATTCTCAGGACAACTGCACGCTGGCTTGTGCTGTCTCTCTGACATCACTCTTTGCATGCTTTGTACAACACATCGCATAAGTGGAGCTTTTAGAGTTCCTCCCACACTCTTGTAGCTCCATTGATTTTCATAACAACAGTTTCTAAAATAATATTATTTGCACAGATGCCCATCATCTCTTCTTATGTATGCCTCCTTAACTTATCAGGTACATAGAATCTGAATTCCAGTTACCTAAAAAAGTCATATCAAATAATTGATATTTTGATAATTATCTTCAAGTCAGGTACAGTTCTGATGTTTCATTTGGTTTGGTACCAAGTGTAATGTAGATCGAAAGTAAAAGTTTATAAAAAACATGCAGTTTTCATACATAATCTTCTTTGAGAAACAGATTTTTACTTGATGTTATTGTGAGTCAGGTCTCAATACTACGTTTTCTAAGTTCGTTTATGTGTTGAACTCTACACAAATCCATGTGATGATGAGGTGTAAAATTCATTGAAATGCTTCTTATAACAGGTACTTGTAATATCCTAAAATAATTGAAATGCATCCTCATCAAAACAGAATACCAGCTGCTGCTTATGTACATGTTATATGACACCAAGTTTTCATGAGTAGGATACAAAAATGTGTTATACATAACCTGCTAAATATTTTTGCAAACTAAAATTGTTCAGAACAGAAGTTGTAGATAAAAAATAATCTTTCCCCAATATGTTCTACCCATAAATCCTATGATTTTCGAGATACTCAAAATGAACTTGTGCAGGCAATATGGTAGCAAATGCACCATGATTGTTAGACCTTGCACACATATCCTAAGTTGTTTGAAGTGGCTGTATTGTGCAGATACAAAAATAATGAAGATTAATTTGACATTTTTGTTGTACTGTCTGTATCGAGAGGATAAGGATTCTTTCATGCTTATATAATCGCTTGTATGTGTATCCAGCTGCTTACTATGCGCTGTGTACAAGCAAAGTCCCATTCGCTACTGTCCACAGTGTGTGATATGAGACTTCTTTGTACATTGCATCATGCCTCTTCTCTGCTCTGAAACTAGAATGCTTCGCTTCAGGTGACTGAAAGTTCTCAATCTCTGAACGTGCTATAATATGATCGGCATTTGACTAGGTTATAGTCCTATAATCTGGGTTTGCAGGTGATCTTACCTTGTAACACCACTGATTCTAAATCTTTTATTCTTTGCGTTCATGTCATTTTTTGTGCTAATGGCCTCTACAGAACACCTGATCGTGTTTTGTACCTGTCATGAAACTGGTAAACATTGTCAAGAAAATCCATAGTGTTTCTTCATATTTTGTTCTCTGATATGTTTGCTGACTTCACAGAGAAGTATTCAAATTTTATATGAAGACTGATCACAACCATATCATTACAGCATAAAACTGTCATTCACTCGTGAAATGAACAGTACTCACTAAAAGAAGGTACTAGACTGAGCACAGGGAACATTATGGGACTTTTCTTATTGCCTGGAGTAACTGCATGTGTGTGGTATAATCACTTCTGCTTCAGTGTTACATAAACTATTCATTAACATCCAGTACTGCGAATCTGGAATGTTAAGTTCCCCCGACAAGGTACTGGAGCCAGGTGAGGTTGGATAGTACCTTTACATACCACCATTGATCTGTACCATCAGAAAGAAGCAAACCAGCAATTACTGCTGATGCAGTAAAGTAGCTGTGAGTGACTAGGAATCACTTGTTATGTCAAGATCATGGAAACGCGCCCTGATCTCATGCGAGATTTTCCCATGTTATATTAAGAAATTGGTGGTTGGAATGTCTGTTCTTATTGTAATGAATTTCTCGTTATGAGCTGTGCTCATTCTGTTGTTGCTACACTAAAATAAACGGATTACATGATTACGGTGTTCTGAGACATGATGCTGTGTACTTCAGTAGATTGGTATGAACATAATATATTTGAGCATCCTGTTGCACTGATGTATCACTCTTCATTCATTTCTGTTTTTAATGCAACTTAGATCTGTTCACAGTCTCTCTTTAATTTAAAATGACATTAAAATCACATGAATTGCTGTATGTTTTCACTCTACTTGGCCATCCTGAAGCAATTGTTCACCTATTGAAGCTGTCGCAATACACTAGATCGTAAATCAATATATTTCCATGCTATTGCATTATCGTTGTTCACACTAAAATGTGTTTTTTGGGGACATAACACCCAACTAATGAGTACATACATACGAAGGATGTACAAACATGGACGCTGCAAAAGGAAGAGAGAGTTTTTATTCTCAAACAGATTTTAGTGTGAACGCTGATGTGCAATCACATGGAATACATTTACTTACAATCTAGTGCAGTGCAGCAGTTTCAGTAAGTGAACAGATGCCCGAAACTGGACCAGTAAGGCCAAAACATCGCAATTTATGTGATTTTAATGTCAGTTTAAGTTAAAGAGAGATTGTGAACAGTTTGAAGTTGCATTAAAGGTAGAAATGGATGAATGAGGTGTGTGAACATTTGTTCGTTCGCTGAAGTATGCGTGACATTATTGCATGTTAGCAGACCATAATGGTGATGGTCAGAGTCGTGGGAACCTCAAGTCATGTGCATAACACGATTCCAATATGCATAGTTCACTTTTCTGTTGGTTGTTTCAGTTTTCTTTTGCTTAATTTTGTCTGTCTGCTGCCTGTTTGATTAAAACCAACTGAATGTGTGAGTCCCTTGTTTGTGTTGCCTGTACTGCATAGGTGTGGTGATAGTTGATGACCAGCCAGAGGTGACAGTGGAGGAAGAACGTTTCCCTTTTGATGCAGACAATGGTTTCCAAGAAGTGCGCAGCAAGAAGAATGTGAAGGAAGCGCGACAGAAGGGTGTAGGGGAAGAGCAGAAGGGAGGAAGGACATCCCGTGAGCAGAAGGATCGTGAACGTGGAGAGCGGGAGAGAGAGCGGAAGGGGAAGTCGACAGGGTCAGGAACCATGCTGCCAGGTGCCACACCTTCTGGACCGGGGCCAGGAACCGCTGTACTACCACTTGCCTCCATGGGGCCAGGACTTGCAGCTGTCAAAGTACCGTTTGAACGCCCTCGACAGAACAAGCTTCCACCTAGATTCGCCAAACAGCGTGAAAACAACCGTTTGCAGAAAGCAGCACAGCAGCAACAGCAGCAGCAACATGTTGGTGTTCATAATGATGTGTCAGAGATGAACAAGATCAATCAGAGCGTCAGTCTCTTTCCTTTAAAAGGTAAGCAGGACGCCTTTTCTTAAGCGATTATGTTGGCATGGCAGCAGCATGTACCGCAGACATATCAAAGGAACACATTGGCTCCCCCGTACGTGTCAGAGAGTATGCCATGGAAGAAATCAGCAAAAATTGCCCTTTCTCTTGTTGGTTTCTTACTTGACTTCATCTTCAACTGCAGAAGTTGAGGTGCTACATTCCTCTGAAATGTCATTGGACATCAACCAGCCTGCATGGCATCATAACCCAGAAGAAGATTGTGCTCTTCTGGCACCAGTATTTTGTGGCTTCATGTATCACTACACTGTCAATGCAGTTGAAAGATTTGGCAGATGTTGCTGTAAGAAATACGTGGGAAGTTTGTTGATAAAACAGTTGATAAAATATCTTTTTAAGTCTTGTAGGATTTGATGCTGTATGGTTTTGTAGGTAGGTGCCATCTCCAGGGTTGAAGTTGACCATGAAGTTGGTGGCAGCTCACTTTTGAACAGGGTCTTGGTGAAATCTGTCTGGAACATCCCTTTGAGGTTGCATTATTATCACGCAGTGATGTAGAGCATTACATCATCATTAAAGAGTTACCAGACAGTTTTTTCAATGTGCATTGGGATCCAAATCATAATGGCGATCTCACTGAACACACAGAACTTTTCTTCCATAAGCTTGCCCAGTCAAGGTGTGAAATACCCTGAAAGACGTCTGACTCAAATTTCCGTATCTACAAAACTGCACTGTCACATCCAAAAAGACCTCTTAAGTTTCATATTAACCACTGTCGGAACCTCAAATCTCACAGAAGAGGTATCCATGTTGATTTTGCAGAAATAACAGGGATGCTGAAAGAAATAAAGAGACTTCAAGGAAATTTAGTTCCATTCCTCCTCCTGCCATATTGTTTCTCTTGTCAGTTCATAGGGTGTGGCTGACTGACAAAGCCTTCTCAATGTATATGCTTCCCCTTCATTTGTGGCACTCTTTAATCTAGTTTGTTTTAGCTTCCTGTAAAACTTTGTTATTTATCTTGCATTAGTAGCATATTTGGTCAGTTATTTACACGTATTTTGTAACATTTAAGGTTTTCATGGTGATGACTGAAGACTGCCGTCTTCTGAGGTATGGCTACGTATAGATCATGTGAACCGATGTTTCAGAGGAACATATCTCCTCCATCTTCAGGGTTTTGTTTCCGTCACCATGAACAGATATTAGAATGCACTATATTGGACAAAAAACGGCATAAGTCACATGGTAACTGCGTATTGGAATAGAGGGGTTAGGATGTATAAAAGAAGTGTCACTGCTGTTATGTTAGGTACAGCTTGCGTGCTTGTGAGCTTGATGTTCATCAGCAGACATCCTTCACTGTAGTTCAGACAGTAAGTGAAATAATCTAGTTTATTTCCTACCTGAGGTTTAGAGCTTTCTCTTAAGTATGTTATAGTTTGGTGAGCTGATACACATTGGAAAACCATGAGAATAATTACAGTAATTCAGTGAGGGGTTTAGGTTTTCTGAGGACGGTGCATTAGGTAAATCCACAATAAAGGAATTTAATCCGTTCTTGGTTTAATGGGGACACATGAAGTTTCCCATTGGTGTTTTGAATATTTATGTTCGGGTTAATGTCATAGTATAACCTTCTTTCCCTTACCACTTTGAGATGCCTTACATTCTGATGCTGTACTGCTGTGTAGGGGTTACCATGATTGCAAAACACATGACAACTGTGCTGGCTGTATATGCAAGAGAGGGATACTGCAGTAAATAATTTCTCCCCATTTATTTTCGCACATATTAGCGAATCTGAATTGAGTAGGAGTTTACAGAATAGTGAGTGCGTGCATGTATGTGCGAACGCTCATGCACAACACTGGGTCCTTAGTGTGAAATGTGTGTCAGGCAGCTTCAGTACCTGTGTCATAAATGAAATTGGTGGCTAATTTTGGAATCCAGTTCTTATATATGCAGTAATTAACAAAATGTTATACTTCTTGGAAAACTTAATATTTCCAACAGCAGGATTTCTGACAGTCTGTGGTTGAGCAGGTAAAAATGGATTCACATTAAATTTTGCTGTTTGAACAAAATAATCCTGAGGTTAGAGAACCCAGAAATATTGTCTCTTCATACCAGACTATTTGCACTTTACCTTCACCTTGCACCAAGGAATGTTGCAATGCAGTCTGAAACATTTCATAGAAAGTTGAATGACATAAATCATACATGTTCATGTTGGGGAACGTGATCAAAGCCATGAATCCAGCGTAATGAGTGTCTGTTGTGTGTGTGTGTGTGTCAACAAAAGGGTTTGGCTTCTTACATTATTTGCATTGGAGTTTTCTGTATTTTATTGGCAGACTCCTCCAGTCCTGCTCCTCCACCTTCTGTGAACGCTTGGGACAAACCAATTACTGGATCTCTGAGACCAAACTCGCCATTGTCTAATGCAAGTCCAGGAATTCAACTGGGAGCTGCCCTTACCAGTTCTAGTGATAGTTGGTGAGTAGCATATAAATTCAGTAATGTGTTAGTCATTTATTTTGCATTCATACATGTTAACTGTAATGAACATATGGCTGCAACAACTCTGTCCCTGCCTCTGTGACGTTGCCATTTAACCATTGGCCTTTGTTTGGTCACTATTGCCTGCTCTTTTTTTCCCTACTTGTTTCATCTCCCTGCTGTCTATTTATTTATCTGCTTTTGTCCTTCCTCCTATGCATCTTCACTCTGCCCTCTTGACATCTTCTCTAACAGAACTGCCATTTTAAGGATCACTTGTTAATACTTTGTTCCTCCCCCCATTCCTTCTACCTATATCTCTTCCTTTTAATTGTATTTATCTTTAATTTGCTGTTTTTGTCCTCTGTTACCACTTTTCTTCGTTCTTGCCTCATAGCAACTACCCTAATTAATGATTGAGTCGTAACGCCTGTTCTCTTCATTATATCATATACCATTTTACCATTCGTGGGTGCTCTTCCATGAAGACACAAGTATCACATTGTTGTAGTTTAATAATTCATGCACACAAGAACATGCCCTTTTAAAACTTTATATGTTTGGATTTGCACTATGTGTACCTTGTTTACTGTATTGTTCCCTTATGTTATAGACTTTCCTTATTTGTATCAATGTAAGTTCTACTGCCATCAGGTGAACAATCAATTGCAGTAAAGTAATAATAACATACATAAATTGCACTGTGTGTACCTTGTTTACTGTATTGTTCCCTTATGTTATAGACTTTCCTTGTCTGTATCAGTGTAAGTTCTGCTGCCACCGGGTGAACACCCAGTTGCAGTAAAATAATAACAACAACAACAACAACAACATCATACGAAGGGGGACCCAAAAATAACCGGAACTGACCTGTTGCGTGCGCATGCTTTGTAGTTACGAGTTGTGCTGCTAGGTGGTGTTAGCTGGGGGTCTCCCGCGACTGTTAGTGAGCTGGCGTCAGTCTGAGTTAAGTGGTTTGTCTGTGGTGCTCTGTTGTGTGCGTTCCTGTTTCAACCCTTTGGCGATGAGTGAGATGGC